AAAGAGGCAACAGTTTCAGCCGGACGAGTTCCCATCCAGTACTGCTCTTAGCAAGCACCTGCTGTTAGAGGACATGTAGGGAGCCAGAGTGCCTGAGGGGTTAACACTGGGCTTTGGTATCAAGTGGCTTTGGGTTCAAACCCTGGGGCTGCTACTTCAGTAATCTGACTTCTCTGAGCTGCTTCTCCCTTATCTTTACGGAGGTAAGAATAAGAGCAGTTTCACAGTTTCCATGCAGATCAAGTGAGGTCAAGCTGTACAGTCCCCACTGCACAGGCTGTCACGGCACAGAACTGGGCATTTATTACTAAGAGGCTGCACAGGGCAAAGCACAGGATGTGTTGGACACATTTGCCTAATGAGGGTGAGAAAATTCTAGGCTGACGCTTCTCAACAATCAGGGCAGCTTCACCCTCCATCGTTGTCCTTGGAAAGACCCCCAGGGCGTCTTTGGAATTCGGAGGCACCTCACCTCCCAGCAGATAAAGAACAGGACTTGCAAATTGGGAACCTGGGCCCCTAGCAGGCTCCCCCAGAAGTAGCAGGGGCAGGCTCCTCAAATGCCCAGGACAAGACCCAGAGACACAAACAGACGCTCCTTGGAGGAGCTGGAAACTGCTGGGTTCCTCTTACACAGACTCTGCAGATGGCAGGGGCGGGTGTTCCCGGCTGGGTTGACAGAGCATCATTTGCCTGGAAATTCCCCCAGTTCCAGGGATCCCTTCCAGATGTTCCCACCCACAGCCTGGCTGAGGAGGAGCAGTGGGGAGCTAAGAAGCCGGGGCCCGAAAGCTGAGCCAGCCTTCTCCACAGACAGGCAGGCAGGCAGCCACCCGGGGAGGCCAGTTCAGAGTCCCCAGTGTCCTCAATATCCACCCACCTTCACCAACACCTCTCTAGGGCTCCATATTAGAGAACTATTCCTTCGAATAAGTCATTGATATCTCTGGGAGTTCTCTTGCAGACTCTAATCCCCCTGGGAGGGTAAGACAGAAAACCCCTTCCTGCTCAGACTGTGGCCCAGCAACAGTGGGCATCACTTGTTGGAATCTCAGGCCCATCCCTGATCTCCTGAATGAGAATGTGCATCTTAACAAGACACCCACATGATCCCATATGCACCTCTAAGCTGGAGAGGTGCTGCACTAAGACACTCTTGTCCACTCACTTTCTGAAATGCAAACTCCATAAGGATATGGATTTTTCTTTGTTTTGTTCACTATGTCACACCCAAAGAGTTCCTTAAACAGAACTCATCAAATGTGTTTTGAGGCCAGGTGTGGTGGCTTACACCGTAATCCCAGCACTTTGGAAAATCAAGGTGGGAGGAGTGGTTGAGGCCCAAAGTTTGAGACCAGCCTGGCCAACAGTTCCTACAAAAAATCTTTTAAAATTAGCTGAGCATGGTAACAGTTGCCTGTAATCCCAGCTATCTGGGAGGCCAAGGCAGGAGGACTGCTTGAGCCTAGGAGTTGGAGGCTGCAGTGATCATGACGATGATCATGACTGAGACCCTGTCTCAAAAACAAACAAACAAAAAAGCTTTTTTAATAAAATGAATTATTTAGATTATTTAGGGCTTAAATCCCCATAGCACAGAGAGGCAGGTACACAGCATAGGTAAGCTTTTTGTTTTGTTTTGCTTTCAGAGGCGGAGTCTCACTCTGTCGCCCAGGCTGGAGTGCAGGGGTACAATCTTGGCTCAGTGCAACCTCCGCCTCCCAGGTTCAAGCAATTCTCCTGCCTCCGCCTCCCAAGTAGCTGGAATTACAGGTGCCTGCCACCACGCCTGGCTAATTTTTTGTATTTTTAGTAGAGATGGGGCTTTGCCATGTTGGCCAGGCTGGTCTCGAACTCTTGACCTCAAATGATCCACCCACCTCAGCCTCCCAAAGTGCTGGGATTACAGGCGTGAGCCACTGTGCCCAGCCAGCATAGGTAAGTTTTAATATGAGAGGAAGGAGGAGAAATTAGAAGGCGTCATCCCAGGGTCCACGGCACTCCTGGGGTGAGGGAGGAAAGGAGGAGAAGGGCTAGGAAAGCAGAAGTGTATAATCAGCTGTATAATGAATACTCCCAGTGCTAGAAGAGCAAATGGCACTTGGGAGGTAATAGAGACCTCCTAGAGATCCTCTGTCTCTGCCTCCATCTTCATCAGGCTTCTCCTACAACCCCTCACAACCCCCATGCCTGCTGTGATCCTGAGTACACTGCATGCTTCTCCTGGGAAGGCATGTTCAGCAGCTGCACTCTCTGCCTCCCCACAGGAATCTTGGTGGGTGTGGGAGGGTCCTTGGAGGTGGCAGGACCCAGCACTGACCCTGGCCCATTTTGGAGCTTGCTGGCTTCTTCCCTCCTGGCTCCCAGCAGAGCCTTTGGGCCAGGCAGGCCAGCTTGTCTCTGAGGCTCAGGTCACCTGGAGCTACAGAGGATCCCTCTACAGTTGTGCCCCAGCCTCAGCCCAGGAGCTCAGCAGGAGAGTCACCTAGTGATTGGCAAGCTGAGCCCTCCATTTGCAGTGGGGAAAGCTGAGGCCTAGGGCGATGAAGCTACATGGCTAAGTCCATGCATCTGGGAATGGCAGGAATGCCCAGGGCCCTGCCTCTTGGATGGGCACATCTCTGGCTCACCTTTGGACAGCTCAAGTATTCCTCCTTTGGGTATCCTAGCATCTAGAGCCTGGCAACGAGTAGCTGCTCAGTTATTGTTGAACGAATGCGTGAGAAGCAAAGAACCCCACTGGGAGCCAAGAGAATCACAATGGCAGTAAAGGCCACTGTTTATCTGTGCTCAACACTTTACACAGGCTGTTTCTTAGAAGCCTTGCCACAATCCTCTGGGAGAGGTGATCTTATCATTCCCGACTACATACAAAGAAACCAGAGCTCACTGCGATGAAGACATGAACCTCCAACCTGCCTGAGCTGGATTTCAACATGTTTCTGCCTAGAACTCTAAAGACCCCATCCTCATCAGGATGCTGTGGCGCTCTCTTGTTGGTGAACTCTTTTCTTTGAAAGAGGCCACTGCAGCCCAGATGGCTCAGGCTCTGAGCTGGATGAGTTTGTAACTCACTTTGATGGCAAGTAGAGTGTGTCCTCTCTGGCTCCCCAAGGAACCTGGCTTGTCAAGGAATTCTTTCTGAATCCCACTCCTTACCAGGGATGCCCCAAATCCACCCATTCATTCTCAGTGGTGGCTTCCATTTAAATCACAGCTCTTCTGCAGAACTTTACTGACTCTTCCATCTAAAACAGCTCCTCTCTCCAGCCCCTCCCTGATTCATCCTTCTCAGCACTAAACATCACTGTGTTTGCCTTTTAACTGTGTGCTCACTAGGATAGAACCTCCATGCAGGCAGGGACATCAGCCCCGTTACAGCTCTGTCCCCAGGGCCTGACATATAGTGAGTGCTCAGTATACACTGCCAGCATGAATGAACCCTCATAGCATAATACATAAAACAGCACTTTTCTAAATCAGCACCCCTTTGTGGTGATTCCTGTGAAAGATGGGCCTCTAGGAATTTGTGAATAAAGTAAAGGGTCAGTATCTGCCAGATGTTCACTATTTTTTTTCTGAGACAGAGTCTCACTCTGTTGCCCAGGCTGGAGTGCAATGATGCGATCTCAGCTCACTACAACCTCCACCTCCCAGGTTCAAATGATTCTCCTGCCTCTGCCTCCAGAGTAGCTGGGTAGATGTGCATCACCACACCCGGCTAATTTTTATATATATTTTTTTGTGGTGATGGGGTTTCACCATGTTAGCCAGGCTGGTCTCAAACTCCTGACCTCAGGTAATCCACCCACGTCGGCCTCCCAAAGTGCTAGGATTACAGGCATGAGACACCATGCCTGGGCCAGAGGTTGGTCAGAGTGGGGCCAGGCGTGGTAGCTCATGCCTGCAAATCCAACACCTTGGGAGGCCAAGGCAGGAGGAGCACTTGAGCCTAGGAGTTCAAGATCAGCCTGGGCAACACAGTCAGACTCCGTCTCTACAAAAAGTCAAAAATTAGCTGGGCATGGTGGTGCACACTCGTGGTCTCAGCTACCTGGGAGGCTAAGGTGGCAGGATCGCTGGAGCCCAGGAGGTTGAGGCTGCAGTGAGCTGTGATTATGCCACTGCGCTTCAGCCTGGGTGACAGAGTGAGATCCTGTCTCAAAACGTAAGTAAATAAAATAAATAAATCAGTGGATCAATTTGCTCACATATTGAATGTGTACTGAGCACTTCCATGTGCCAGGCAGTATGTTTCAGCTCTGGGTATATTTCCCCCATCACCACCGAAAGAGTTGTATTTTAGTGGAGGAGATGGACATTCAATAATCCCCCCAAAAAGATATTGATTCTGCATTGTGCTAGTACTAGAGCTGATCAGGGGCCTGGTAGGAAGGGGACAGGTTTGAGGCTTGCCCCCAACAAGGACATTGGCACTGAATGGCGCTCACGTGTGCCTTCCTGAGTGGCAGTAAAGGGGCCAGGGCAGCAGCTGGCATGCCCAGAGCTGTGTTCAACCCAGAGTGTGGGTTTGGCAGAAGAGCAACATCCCTCATGCCAGCTGCAGGGAGAGAGGCTTGGTAAGTGCTGGGGGAAAGCTTTTCTCCAGGAAAGGCTCCCCCTCACAGGGTTGCAGGGTCTGGGGCTCTGGCTACATAACTTGTAGGGTCTCACAAGTTACCTACAGGGCCCTCACTCCACCCTCAGTCTGGGCTCCAGGAGCCTGCTTCTTCAGCTGTACAACAAGGTGTGTAACAAGATCTGCTCCCCTACAGGCGCTGAGAGTATTAAACACAGACAGATCTGAGGGGCCGAGCTCTGTGCCTGGCTGGCAGGAGTAACCTGTGTGGGTCTCTAAATGCGGGAGAAGTGGAGATTTCTGGGGAGGGCAGTGGGTGAAGGCCAGTGCAAGGGAATATTAAAGGGACCGAGGTTGTTCCATCTGGAGAGCAGATGGTTCCCAATGTGCCTCAGTTTCTGAATCTATAAAATGGGTCACCGACCTGTTTTAACACAAAGGGCAGAAAAAGAAGTGGACTTTAATGAGAAAGATTTGCAGTCAGATAAGAGGAGGAATTTCTTAAACCTCAGAGAAAATAGATGCCAGGTGATATGGTTTGGCTGTGTCCTCACCCAAATCTCATGTTGAATTGTAACTACCACAATTCCCACCTGTCATGGGAGGAACCCAGCAGGATTACGGGGGCGGGTCTTTCCTGTGCTGTTCTCATGATAGTGAATGAGTCTCACAAAATCTGATGGTTTTAAAAAAACAGGAGTTTGCCTGAACTAGCTCTCTCTGTTTGCCTGCCACTGTCCACGTAAGATGTGACTTGCTCCTCCTTGCCTTCCACCATGATTGTGAGGCTTACCCAGACACGTGGAACTCTAAGTCCAATTAAACCTGTTTCTTTTGTAAATTGCCCAATCTCGGGTATGTCTTTATCAGCAACATGAAAACAGACTAATACACTGGGATAAGCCAATGAGAGGAACAGGTGGAATTCCTTGGAAACAGAATTATAAAGCTGGAAGGAAAGTCATACTTCACCCTACCTTCCTTAAATGTTAGAAGTGAGATTGAGTGGGAGAGTGACTTGGCTTGGTAAGCAGGTGGTTAGTAGTGGAGAAACCGGGACTCCTGACTCTAGATCCATCTTTGCCCTCTACCTTTCCCCATTATGTTCTCCTAGGAAAGAAACCAAAGCTCAAAGAAAAGATGCTTAACATCAGCCAAGACTATCCAAAATTATGTGCCAGGAAATGTCCTTGGCCTCTCCATAGTTTTAGGGTTAATCCTCCAAGCAATCCTGTGAAGTAGGCACCTTATCTCAATGACACTGAGGCACAGAGAAGCTATTCAACAAACTCAAATCCTCCCTCTGTCCCTGATGAGCTGAGGTCATTCAGCTCATCAGAGACAGAGGGAGGATTTGCACCCTGGCCTTCTGAGTTACCTGCTGGCTCTGCAGCCCCTCAAGTCCTTAGTTCCTACTCTAGAGGGGATAAATCAGAGCTTCTCAACCTGTCAGGAACTGTGATGACCTCCATGGTTCAGCTTGACTTCACTAAAAGATCCTGATGGCTTCCAAAATGACAGCTATTTCCCTTGCAGAGTTTTGCACACTGTCTTCTACATCTTAACAGGACTCCCCTGGAGGACAGTTTCAGGCAGGATCAGCTTCATGGGAACGCCACCTGTGCAGTCAGGCAGAGCACATGCTTAGCAGTCTGCCTATGCCTTAATTCATTCTTAATATTTCTTGAACAAGTGCCCTGCATTTTTATTTGCACCGGGCTCTGCAAATTATGTAGCCCATCCTGATTTCAGAGAAAGTTCATGACCTTCAACTGGAGGCAGGTGGTGGCGGTGCTACTCCACTGGAAGGACAGACATCCAAGGTCTTGGCAGAAGGGCACCCTGGGATGATGGAGATTCCATCCAGTTCTTTGCATTCCACTTTCCCAAGACAGAGCTGCGAGGTTAGCATGCAGCAGGGTAGAGTTCTCATATTCACATTTTCTCTCTCTCCTTCCTGCAGGCTGTAGATGAACCAGACAAGGCCAGGTGGAGGTTATGCTCCCTCTGGGCCCAGCATTGAAGACTCACCCTTAGGCTTCCTTGACAGCCTCAGATTTCTTTCTGACTCTGCTGGGCTTTCAGCCAAAGGCAGCCCAGCTGGCTGTGCCTGGGGTAAGAAAAGGCATGATTTAGCTCCATAACAACTTTAACATCAGGCAAAACAGACATGTGAGAGAGACTCCAGGTAGAGCACTACATGGCAGATAAAAGAAATGACCTAATTAGATCTCAAACATACAACCCTGACTTTAAAAAAAGCGTTTTGCCATGTGATATATAACTGCGCCACCCTTTATGTAAAACAAGCCACACACACACATACACACATGCTCACACAAAATATATTTTCCATGAGCCCACGCATGTATGCAAAAAAGAATTTTAAGTGTGAAAGGATCACACCAAATTCATATAATACCTGTTGCCTCTGAAACTAAGAGGGAAGATTATCTGTGACTGTCTAACAATTTATAAAAGATAATCACTTGTGTGGTTTTCTTTTAAGCACAGATCCTCCAACTGTGGGACTAGGGAGGGTCACCCATGCATCTCTTCCTTCCTGGGGTTCCGGTAGTGCCTAGTCCCAGTGGACGGCACAGCATGCCACAAGTGATGCAGCACCATCGCCTCTCTTGTCTTCGGTGATGCCCAGAGCAATGCCTTGCAGGGGTAGAGCAGGCGTAATTATGATTCCCATCTTACAGAGGTAGGGCAACAGAGTCAGAAAGGTTGAGTGCCTCGCCCACACACGCAAAACAGCGAGCAGCAGACGGGGACTCTTGTGCTCCAAGCTGAGTCAGACACAGAGGGTGGCGTGGCCGGGGCCCAAGTGCTATTTATTCCCCATGGCTATTTAGGGTTTGCAGGATATGTTTTCCCTCTAGGCAGTCATAGTTTCTCCTAGACCCACTTTGAGCCTCCAAACAGACAAGGGATGTGCTAACCCTTCTCCTGAACCGCAAAGGTGATGCCCTCTCTACCTGCCTTATGGTGCTGGGAGACACACTCAAACGGCAGCAGCCAAAGTAGGCTTCTTTTCCTCTGATACCAGTCCAGCTTGCTGCCTGCCCAGATCAAGGCTTCGGTTTCCCTTGCAAGAAGAATCCCAACCTGCTGTATCCCCTTTTCCTAATTGGCTCTCCGTCTCTGGCTTCTCTTCCTCCTTTCAGGCCACTGAGTGGCTCCTCCTCCCACCTTCCTGGCCACTGATTGGCTCCCTTTTTCTGGTTCTTCCCCCCACCTTTCTGGCCTCTGATTGGCTCCCCTTCTCTGGTTCCTCCCACCTTCTTGGACCTACCTTTCTGTCTTCAGCCAGAGGTTGCCCAAGGCTGCTGGACTGAATGAACTTTTAGGTAAGTGGGTCTGGAGATGTCAGTGACATGCTGGCTATACAAAAACCAGCTGGAGTCCATTACACAGCCAGATGCCAGGACCCCAGGCCCACAGATGCTGATTCAATAGGTTTGTGGTGGTGCCGAGGGATCTGTAGTTTACAAAAACAAATCCCAGGTAATGCTGACATTCAATGCAACTGAGAAATTATCCATCTAGTCCAAACCTTTAGGTCAAAAACAGGCAAACCCAGGCCTAAACAGACCCTTTAGGCCACAGACCCTTTAGGCCTTGTCTTTTTAGGCCTGGGTTTGCCTGTTTTTGGCCTAAAGGTTTGGACTAGATGGGCGATTTGTTCCACAGCTACTCTCCCCTGTGACTTGTCCAAGATCACACAGCTAATCAGCTAATCAACTGAAACTGAATATTGGGCAGCTCCTAGTTCCCACGTGACACCTCTCCCCACCCTGCAGATGCACACGCATACCTAACGCACCTGCTCCCAATCTGACTGTTTGGCTTCTGTCCTGAAGCCTGACTAAAATCTGGTCCTTTTACTTCTAGGCCACAGGACCCAAAGTCCAGGCCAGAGCAATCCATGTAGAACAGAAGCAGGACAGCAATTTCTTAGTAAAAGGTATTACGCCACAAGGGCTAAGGCCTGGCATTATTCTGCTGCCTGGAGCCCAGGTCACACACCAAGCAGTAATGAAACCTGAGCCACCTCTCCCTGTCCACAGCTGTCCCAGGAGGCCTCAGGGGCCTGGTCCCACAGTCACTCTCCCCAAGATTCAGGTGTCACACAACTGGGCCCCAAGCCACGCCTCCAGTTCTCAGGCCACTTTCCCCCTCCCTGGGGCCTGCAGGAATCTCAAGAGATTACATTTTGCTCTGTTAGAAATGGCTGGAAACCTTAGGAGGGAAGAGTGAGGGTGCTGAGGCATCAGGGCCTCTTCCTGGGCCCCAAGTGATCCTTTCCCACTACCAATAAGCCCTGAGCAGGTGAAGTCTTCCAGGTCCTGCCACTCTGAACTGCGGCCATCTGGACCCTTCACTGCCAACCCTATGCCCCACTACTCCTTCTGCCTTGGCCCTTGTCTTGATTCAGCTCAACACATTTGTCACACCTTCCTAAAAATTGCAGTCCTGAAGTTTGTAGTGTGCAGGGGAATTCTGGGAGCCAGCCCTTCTGCTTCTGAAAAATGGCTATTGTGACTATACCTACTCTTCTCTGGCACCCAGGGAGGGGGTACTGCAGAGATAGAAAGAAGGGCTCTGAAAGTCTGAGGCTTACACCAAATAGAACAGCTAAAATAACAAGAAAAACCTGACAACATCAAATGCTGGCTGAGCGAAGCAGCTGGAACTCTCACACATTGCTTAGAAATACAAAATGACACACAGTTTTGAAAACAATTTGGCAGTTTCTTATGAAGTTAAACATGCATTCACCATACAACCTAGCAATGCTACTCATAGGTATTTGAAATGAAAACCATGTACATACAAAGACCTGTTAGTGAATGTTTATACAGACTTTATTCATAATCACCAAAAACTGGGAACTCCTCAAATGTCCTTCAGCTGGTAAATGGATAAACAAATGTTCATCCATGCAATGTATAAATGGCTGTTCAGTTTGTTTATCCATTTACCAGTTGTTCACCACATTAACATGATTATATCAATTGATGCTGAAAAGTCAACACCCATTAAACAACAATTCAACACTCATCCATTATAAAATTAAGAGAAAAATAGGAATAGAACTTTCTCAACTTGATAAAAAGCATCAACAAGAACCCTACAGCTAACATTCTACTTAATGGTGAAAGGCTGAATGCTTTCCCCTTAGATGAAAGCAAGGCAAGAATGTGTGCTGCTACCACTTTTATACAACATAGTGCTGCGAAAGTTTTAGCCAGTGCAGTAAGGCAAGAGAAGAAATTAAAAGGCATACAGATTAGAAAGGAATAAAAACTGTTTCTATTTGAAAATCACATGATCATTTATGTAGAAGTTCCCAAGGGATATATAAAATATTAATGCTAATAAGTAAATTCAGCAAGGTCACAGAATATGAGATAGACATACAAAAATCTATTGTATTCCTATGTGCTAGAAATGAACACCTGGATACCAAATTTAAAAATACGATACCATGTGCAACTGCAAAAGGTAAAAGAAGAGATACTTAGATGTCAGCTACAGGATTATATGTTGAAAACTACAAAAAGAGGAGGAAAAAAGTCAAAGAAGAGCTAAATAAATGGAGAGATGTACTATGTTCATGGATTGGAAAATTCAACATAGTCAAGATGTCAATTCTCCCCAAAAGGATATACGAGTTTAATGCAATTCCTTTTAAACTCTTGGAAAAATTTTTGTAGATACTGTATATATTATTCTAAAATTTATATGGAAAGGCAAAGGAACTAGAATAGCTATCTTAGTCTGTGTTGTGTTGCTATAAATACTAGAAGCTGATTAATTTATAAAGAAAAATGGTTTATTTGGCTTGTGATTCTCATGGCTAGAAGGTCAAAATTGGGCATCTGAATCTGAAGAGGGCCTCAGCCTTCTGCTCATAGCAGAAGGTAAAAGGGAGCCAGAGTATGCAGAGACAGCATTGTGAGAGAGAGGAGGAAAAGGATGGTGTGCTAAGCTCTTTTAACAACTAGCTCTCACAGGAATTAATCAATAGAGTGAGAACTCACTCACTCCAGAGAAGGCCATTAATCTATTCGTGAGAGATCCACACTTATGAACCAAACACCCTTTAGGCGCCCCCTCCAACATTGAGAATTAAATTTCAACATGAGGTTTAGATGAGGCAAACATCCAAACCATAGCAATAGCAATTTTGGAAAAAAAAAAAAAAAAAAAGAACTGGGAGAAATCAGTCTATCTCATATCAAGCTACAGTAATCACTGTACAGCTACAGTAATCAAGACTGTATGTGTTGGCAGAGAGACATACATCAATGGAACAGAATGGAGAACCCAGAAATAGACCCGCACAAATATGCCCAACTAATTTTTGACAAAGGTACAAAACCAATCAATAGAGGAAAAATAGTCTTTTCAACAAATGGTGCTTTAAAAAAGCCTCTAAATCTTATGCCTTATACTAAAATTAACTCAAAATGGATCATTAACTTAAGTGTAGAACATAAAACTATAAAACTTCTGGAAAAAAAAACAGGAGGAAATCTTCAGTATGTAGGTCTACGCAAAGAGTTCTTAGGTTTGATACCCAAAGCATGACCCATAAGAGGAAAAACCAATAAACTGAACTTCGTCACAATGTAAAACTTTTGTTTTGTGAAAGGCCCATTAAAAAGCAAGATAAAAAAAAGTTACAGACTGGGAAAAAATATTTGCAAACCATGTATCCAACAAATAACTAGTATGTAGAATATATGAAGAAAACTCTCAAAACTCAGCATTCAGAAAACAAACAATCAAATTAGAAAATAGGTAAGAGACATCAAGCGATGTTTCACCAAAGAAGACAACAGATGTCAAATAGCACATGAAAAGATGCTCATTGTTCATCATTAAGGGAATGCAAATTACAATCACAATGAGAATCACTACATATCTATCAGAATGGCTAAACTAAAACAGTGATACACTAAATGCTGACAAGGATTCAGAGAAACTGAGTCACTCATACATTGTTGGTGGGAATGTAAAATGGGATAGGCACTGTGGAAAACAGTTTGGCAGTTTCTTTCAAAAACTTAACATACAACTACTGTACAACCCAGCAATTGTTTTTCTCAGCATTTATCCCAGAGAAATGAAGACTTGTATATAAATGTTTATTTATTTATTTGTATTAGCTCCAGACTGGAAATGATTCAGTTGCCCTTCAACAGGGAAATGAGTGAATAAACTGAGTATTTCCCACCATGATCTATTACTCAGTGATATGGTTAGGCTTTGTATCCCCATCGAAATCTCATCTTAAATTGTAATCCCCAGGTGTTGAGGAAGAGAAACTAGTAGGAGGTGATTGGATCTTGGGGACAGTTTCCCCTATGCTTCTCTACAATAGTGAGTGAGTTCTCACAAGATCTGATGGCTTTATAAGACAGTTTTCCCTGTTCTTGCTCACTGTCTCTCACCTGCCACCATGTAAGATGTGCCTGCCTCCCCTTCTGCTGAGATTGTAAGTTTCCTGAGGCCTCCCCAGCCATGTAGAACTGTGAGTCAATTAAACTTCATTTGCCTATAAATTACCCACTCTTGGGTAGCAGCTTTATAGCAGTGTGAGAATGAACTAATATACTCAGAAAAAACTACTGATACACACAACAACCTGGATGAACCTCCAGAGCATTATGCTGAGTGAGAAAAGCCAACCCCCCAAATAAATATGATTCCATTTATATAACATTCTGGAAATGACAACATTATGGAAATAGATAACAGATTAGTGGTTGCCATTAGTTAAGGAGAAGATAGTGATGGGAGGGAAGTAGATAGGGCTATAAAAGATCATGAAGATCCTCATGGTGATAGAAGTGTTCTGTATCTTGCCTGTGTTTAACATCAATATCCTGGTTGTGATGCTATAGTTTTGCAAGATGCTACCATGGGAAACTGAGTAAAGGACACGTGGGATTCCTTAATTATCTCAAAATTTAAAATTTTAGGTAAGAAAATTTAAACTTCGAAGTGAGAAAAAAGAGACAACAGCTGCTGCTTCTCCAAGATAAAATAAGAATGACTATGGCTTCCAGACAATCACCTGGACTTACCAGAAACAGACTCATTGAATCAGGAGAACTGGCTTCCACATTCTGCAGCCTCTCTTCCTCCCTCCAACATGAGTAAGCTCTCTGTAGTCTCTCCTCCTTTCCCCTACCAAAATGTAAAACAGCTGATAAAGCACTAATGCCAAGTCATAAATAATTGTTCAGACAATGAGTACATGCTCACAAAGGGGTGTGCATTTTAATGGGAACAAATCCTGTTAAGCTAAAAAATGAACCATCAATAGTGAAATTGCTTGCACAGCAGGCAGAGGTAGGAAGACATTTAAGATGGTTGGAAAGGAAGAACTTTCTTGAACTCTGAAAACTCATCAAGTCTGCAAGCTGGGCTGATTCATCAGGCCAACTGTGCCAAATAGGTAGAGAGGAGAGATTTAAGCACCAGGGCAGGGAACAGAAAATGGCAGAATGAAGATATCAGTAGTGTAGTGCTCCAGGATTGGATGGGAATGTTTAGAAAGAAAGAGAATTGGAATTTGAAAGGTAAAAGATACCTAGTCATTTGCCCAGAACTTTCTACCACTTTAAAAATTAATTAATTTTTTAGAGATGGCATCTCACTACGTTGCTGTATTAGTCCGTTTTCATACTGCTATAAAGAACTGCCTGAGACTGGGTAATTTATAAAGGAAAAAGGTTTAATTGACTTACAGTTCCACATGGCTGGGAATGCCTCAGCAAACCTACAATCATGATGGAATGTGAAGGGGAAGCAAGGCACCTTCTTCACAAGGCAGCAGGAAGGAGAAGTGCCAAGCAAAGGGGGAAGAGCCCCTTTTAAAACCATCGGACCTTGTGAGAACTCATTCACTACAATGAGAACAGCATGGGGGGACTGCCCTCATGAGTCAAGTATCTCCACCTGGTCTCTCTGTTGACCTGTGGAGATTATGGAGATTATAATTCAAGATGAGATTCGGGTGGGGACACAAAGCCTAACTGTATCAGTTGCCCAGTCTGGTCATGAACTTTCACCACTGTTTTCTGCAAAGCACTGTACATTCCCATTCTAGCTAGATGATCTGAATGTAAAGTGGCCATTTTGGAACAATTATTGGCTTAGGTGTGATCACCTGATCCAGGTCTGACCAATTGTTGCACTTTTCTACCCCTGAGATTCAGTAATTGGTTGAGAAGGTGATGGGTAATTCAAGCCTAACCAATTAGAGTCTTTTCCTATTGGTTGGTTGTAACTGGAATTACAGTTTTGTCTATAGTGATGAAACTGAGAGTATTAAGTCTTGAACCAGCAGCAGAGGCTATCTAAGCAGGGAGCTGACACCCAGAGGACCAGAGAGTAAGAGGGAGGCTGGGTGGCCCCGGATACCTGGTTTGAGTCATGCCTGAGGCTGGCTGCATTCTTGTCCAGCCATTTGTTTGGATACCAGAGCCAATAAGTAATTCCCACACTCCCCTTTCCCAGAAGCCCGATCAAAGCTGGGTCTGTACCAGGATAAGGGGAGGCTTGTGTGTATGTTTGTGTGTGTGTGTGTGTGTGTGTGTGCGTGCTGTGGGTTCCTGGTCAGAAAGTTCTACCCCATCTGTTGAGCCCTGGCAAAAAAGTCATCAGAGATGGTACTGAGACTCTGAAAGCCCGTGTGCTGGGGAAGAAGATCCTAAGGAAGCAATAAGGTAGGAAACATATTTTCACTTAAGGAGTACCTGAGCTGCACTGGATAGCACATTCCACAGAGTAGATGTTATTAGCCCATTTTCCAGAGGAGAAAAGTGAGGCTCACACAAGTAAAGTCAGTTGCTCAAGGTAACACAATAGTAAGAGGCAGGCTTGCTATGGGACCCAGTGATTTCTTACTTCCAAGCTAGTTTCTTTCTAGTTGGCCACCCCATTCTCCAGAAGCCTCCCATTCTCTTAGCAAGGCTCAGCTGCTTATTTAAAGATTACCCAGAGGCTGGGTGCAGTGGTTCACATCTGTGATCCCAGCACTTTGGGAGGCTGAGGTGGGTGAATCACCTGAGGTCAGGAGTTCAAGACCAGCCTGGCCAACATGGTAAAACCCTGTCTCTACTAAAAATACAAAAATTAGCTAGGCATGGTGGCACATGCCTTGTAGTCCCAGCTACCTTAGGAGGCTGAGGCAGGAGTATTGCTTGAACCCAGGAAGCAGGGGTTGCAGTGAGCCAAGATCACGCCATTGCACTTTGAGCACAAAAGCGAAAGGAGTTAAAAAAAAAATACCCAAAGCTTTTGACCAGCTCAGGTATCTTGGGACTCTGAACCTCATAACCACAGGGGTCCTGGGAGGCAAGTGCCAATCCAATGAGCCTTAGAGGCTACTATTTAGAGTCAGATAGATATGAGACAGTGTCCAAGCGGAATATGAGACCCCGGGAAATTACTTAACCTCCCTGAACCTCAGTTTCCCTATTTCCATCTGAGTTAATCATAGTAACTTCCTCCTATGGTTGTGAGTGAAAGGTGCTTAGCATATATGAGCAGCTTCTGGTCCTTATGAAAGAGAAACCCAGAGCCCAACATCTCCTGTCTCAGATGTCCCTAACCCCCCAGCCTCTGACATTTCCCTCCTCCCAAGTTCAGCTCTGGCCAGGCCATTCTTGTCTAAACTTTTCCAAATGTCACTCTTTGTTTTTTTTTTTTTCTTTTTATGCTTTGTGTCTTTATCTAGGTGACATTTTTCTTTCCTTCCACAGGGATTGTTATACAAACAGGAGCAAAAATAACAACAGAGTCTCTGGCCAGACCCCTCCTGAACAGTGGGAGGATATTTTGGCCTAGAGACAGCCACAGAAAGTCCCAAGGGAGTGGGGGTCCCAGGGGAGGGATTGAGCTAAGGGAATTCTGTGGGCAGTTCTGCAGTGAGGTCAAAGGGCAGGCCTCTCTCCAGAAAGAACCCCACTGATGTAATCTCAAATATGATGAGTCAATAAAATCCAGCTCTGGAATTCTTGGCAAATCTGAAGGCTTCCCTGTAACTTGGGGAACAGGTTAAAACATCTAGCAGTTTCTGTCCACATGAGACAGTATCAGGTGACTCCGTTTGGTCAGTCCTGATCATCTCCCATCTGAGTAGAGAGACGAAAAGGCAGAGCTGGCAGCAATGGACCCCCACAGCCAGGCTCTCCCAGGGCTCCAGGCCCCTCAGCCTTGCATGGCTGTGCTTGGTGAACTCACTTATCTTCACAGGGGTGTGAGGAGTGTCTCCATCTCAGAATCCTCCACAGAGGCTGGTACCTGTGAGACATCAATTAGAGCCTCAGCAAGGGTTGAATCAAGAGACAGAAAACTCTGCTGTCTGGAAAAAGGAAGAGCAGGACCTTCTAAGAAGAGATGTGAGTTGCTGGCAGAAGAGTCCATTCACAAAAGTGACTCCCCATTGTCTGACCTGCACACAGTGCCCTCTCCGTTCTCCAGGAACTGGCTATCCTCAACCATGGTCCCAGCTAAAACCCCAGGGGCTTAGCTCACTGGAGCAAAGAGCATCTCACTGAAGCTTGCCAGTCGGATTCTTTCTTCTAGGAATGTGAACTTTTAACCTGCGAGGCATAGCAGGTGAGAGGCATAAATGGTGACCCCTGAAAGGAAGGTCCATGGGCACAGGGGTGAAACCACCTTTACAAAAAGTGCAGCAGTGAGAGAAATCTAGCCTAATGGACTCCATCTTGCTTCCAACCTCACCAGCTAACTGCCTTTGTTAACTTTAAAACAAAGATGATAACAGTCCCTTCCCAAAACTAACCCTCTCCTTGCTTGATAACCAAAACTGCCTTTGTAAGGCTGGGCATGGTGGCTCACGCCTGTAATCCCAGCACTTTGGGAGGCTGAGGTAGGTGGATCACTTGGGGTCAGGAGTTCGAGACTAGCCTGACCAACATGGTGAAACCCTGTCTCCACTAAAAACACAAAAATTAGCTGGGCGTGATGGTGCATGCCTGTAATTCTAGCTACTCTGGAGGCTGAGGCAGAAGAATCACTTGAACCCAGGAGGCAGAGGTTGCAGTGAGCTGAAATTGCACCATTGCACTCTAGCCTGGGCAACAGAGCAAGACATTGTCTCAAAAACCAAACCAAAACAAAACAAAACTGCCTTTGTAAGACTAATGAAAGACCACAAGATTAGGATCATAGGAGATGCCTGAATTCTGCTAAGATGCAGGTATAGTTAAATGATAACCAGCCATTATTCCCTAGCTTGAATTCTATAAGCATTCACTGCTCCAGAGATCACAGTATTTGTAACTTCCCCAGTTGCTCTGATAGATGGTATCACTGTTGTAAACATGAAAGATTGGTCTTTGAGATATTTTTCAGACTTTTGCATTCTGATAACAGACTGACTTCACCTGGGCCCATAACTCATACCAAGGAACTAATTCAACTGGTCTTGTGACCTCCACCCAGGAACTGACTTAACGCAATAAGACAGCTTCATCCCTAACCCAACCAATCAGCATTCCTCATTCCCTAGCCTCCTGTCTGCCAGACTTTCTTTGAAAAACCCTAACCTTCAAATTTTGGGGGAGGACGATTTAATAAACTCCCGTCCTTCCATTTAACTAGCCCTATTATTATTAAACTCTTTCTCTGCTGCAGTACTGCTGTCTCCATGAATTGGTTTTATCTGTACAGTGGGCAAAGAAGGACCCATCAGGTGATTACAAGAGTACCATGGTTCCCAGAGCTGCTTTTGTTGTTCTTCCTCCCAAGGCCTATTTTGTTAGCTAAAAGCCCTAGTATTTCCCTGATATAGTTTGGATATACATCTCTGCCAAATCTCATGTTAAACTGTAATTCCCAATGTTGAAGGTGGGGTCTGGCGAGAGGTGTTTGGGTCATGGAGGCAGATCACCCATGGCTTGTTGTCTTTGTGATAGTGAGTGAGATCTGGTTAAGTGTGTGACACACCCTGCATCCACTCTCTCTCTTGCTCCCACTTTTGTCCTATGACGTGCCTACTTCTGCTTTGTCTTCTGCCATGAATGAAAGCTCCCTGAGGCCTCCCCAGAAGCTGAGCAGATGCTGGGGCTATGCTTGTACAGCCAGAAGAAGAATGAGTCAACTAAACCTCTTTTCTTTATAAATTACTCAGCCTCAGGTATTTCTTTATAGCA